CCTTTGCAGGGATTTCAGTGGGGGGAAACTTTGGAACGCGTACCATTTCTGTGCGAGCGCGAGGCGTCCAAGGAAGTTTGCGCCAAGATAAGCGGATTTACTCCATGATGTCTCTTCTTGCCAATATGACCATCAAAGTGCGCATAGGACAAATCTTCAACAGTTTTCTGATTTAGGTTCGTAAGGAACGTGACACCTTTGGTGAACTGGAGGTGCCAGCGGACAAATACTATGGAGCACAGACTGCACGGTAAGGAGGTCACTTTTCTTTGAGAACTAAGAAAAATTAGGCGCAGTTCGGCTGAGGGGGGAGGGCACTTTGCAGAAAAGTTCCCAGAAACTGCTTGTGAACCCTTGTGAAGTCTTGTCAACTCTTGTAAAGCATTGAACACGAGGATGGGAGGGAGCGAAGGTGCAAAATGTCGCCACCGCCTCCTCTAGCCGAACTGCTCGGAAACTTAGTTTAAGGTTGGGAAGGACTTTGTAGTCTGTTGGGTAACACGCTAAAATGATTCATCTAATTTGAAACAATTTAAGAATATTGGGGAATTGTGACGGAGAAATTGTGGATTTTAAATTTTCCAGATCTCAGATGAACTTCAAGATTGGAGGACCTGAAGAGCGCATGCCCCTCCCAGTAGTACATGCTTTTGGAATTCTGAAAAAAGCTGCTGCTATGGTGTGTTTTGGTGCTACGTTTTCCTATTTAAAGTACTGCTTGTAGTACAGAAGTTGTTTTCTAGGTCAATATGGAGTACGGTCTCGACCAAGAAGATCGCCGAAGCCATCTGTAAAGCCGCCGGTGAGCATGTTCTCTGTTCAAAATGTGTGACCTTCAGCTCCTCGGCTAGCACGGCCTTGCATATAATGGCTGTGAGTTAGTGAACCATGATGAGCGGAGGCTCCTGACCGGTTTTTCGGCGAAAGCTGATGTGCTTTTTTGCGCCGATTTGAGCGCTGATTAACCAATCGATGTGACAGTTATGACAGTTCGTGCATTGGTGCAACAATCAGAGTCAAATGACTGATGAATCACTTGCAGACGAGGTCACCGAAGGAAAACTTGACGACCACTTCCCTCTGGTCACATGGCAGACGGGATCAGGAACTCAGTCCAACATGAACGTGAATGAAGTCATCTCAAACAGGTCAGGCTTTGTGGGGTTTTGGAACGCAGTTGGGCAGTAGCTCAAAGGTAAATTTATGCCCTGCACGCAGTTGGCTTCGGCTCAGT